TATCTTTCTCATGTACAACTGTCAGAATACAGTGGAAGTTTCAGCAAATATGACAAAGTTATTTTTATAAAAAGTTACCAACAGCAGCTTTACATTTTTGGGATATAACTCTTCTGTCTCTACTTTGCCTTGGTTCACAAGCCACTGGCAAAATAACACTACATTCTTCTGCACAGATTCCCACAACAAGTATATGTCAGACCTGTGGAAAACACATAGATCAGAACTTTTAGCCTTCATAGTTTTTTTGCTTAGCCCCTGTGGCTTATTTTGGGACTCAAATGTAATCATTACTGCAAAACTTTCAAAATGTAAACATTCAAACTACTTTTTACTATGACAATAACTCCCCATTGACAACTACAAACAATGTGCTGTAGATAGAACATAAAGCATGATTAGCTGGCCTATTTTTAGGCTTAAAATTATTCAGAACCTCTTGTGTACATTTTCTGCTAGTTTGAGCAAGAGGATATTTGAGTGAATCTGTATGGAAAATGGAGGAATGAAACAAAGGGGAGAGGACAGATTGAACCACTACCTTTTCCTCTTCCAGTTTTCCCAGGCTTGTGGATAGAAGGACACTGACCAGGCCAGAAAGTAAATCCAGCCAATCACCTCACTGACTATTGACAGGATGTTGCTGTGGACGACCAGAAAGCGGATTCTGACAGACAAACTAGAGAACAAAGAATCAGGTTTACAAACACAAAGAAACTGGACAGTGGCATCATCATCATCATCATTATAACTTTGAAATGTTTGTTCTCATGTCATTTGAGCCTACCAATCCGACCAATACCCGTAGTTTTTGTCCAGCATCATTAGCTCTTTGTACACTGATGCTGAATGTATTCATGTAATCTGATAAAAACAGTCTAAACTGGGCTCACCAGATTAGCCAGTATGACATGTGCCTTGCTCAACAAAAACATCTGGGGAATTGAAAACAGTGTTCTGTGGTCAGGGTTGAGGCATTGTGTGGACATAACGGTAGCCCTTAGACCACCAACTCATCTTGGCTAACTTCTTTTCTAAATGAACACTGGAAGAAAGGCAGAGCATTTCAAGAATGAGGATAAAGGGAAGCTAACTCTGCGAAATCAACTACATATTATCGTAGTCTCTTACAGCACATTTTCCATCTTATGTTAATATTTTCTGTTCTACAATGTTAGCTGTCACTGCAGCACTGTCCACAAGAAAAACCCCTGTTCATTAATTGCACTTCCGGATTAAAGCGATTCCTATTGTCACGTTCGATTGTCAGATGTAACAATGAAAGAGGGGGAAAAATAGGTCTTCTGTCAGTGTTGTGTCTTTGCTGATACCCACCTGTTGAGGTCTGTGTGGTTGCTAAGCATGTATGTGGTCACCTGTCCAACATCATGGGATGTCACACTGAAAGTGACTGAGGTTGTGTCCACTGGCAGAAACACCTAAATAAACATTACAAACCCAAGAGGTTTTATTCAATAACTTATTGGTAAATGGTAAATGGATTGTACATATATAGCGCCTTTCTAGTCTTTCGACCACTCAGTGCACTGTACACTACATGCCACACTCACCCTATTCACACACATTCAAACACTGATGGCAGTGGTTAAGTAACTGATCAAACAGATTCATTCTCTTCTACTAACGCGCAAATTAAATGATTACATGCCTGATTTTAATTGCATGCATAATATATGTCCACAAACACAAATTCAACAACTGCAAGCTGTACAGGCAGCTGCCAGCAAAAAGCAAAACAAAGGGAGATGCAAAGAATGTGTAGCAAGTCATGTTGTCACAACTAGTTAGCAGGGCAAGACATACTATTAGACTGGGTGCAGTCAGTCTTTAAAGTGGCTTGGAGTGAATTGCATCAGGTGAAATGATTAGAACACAGACAATCAAAGTTCATAGATACATAAACACACACAACTTACATCTGGACATGCCCAGAAGAGAGTATGTTTAACTGTTGCAATTTGCAGCACAATTGCTTTTAAAAATTTGGTTGTGTGTTACCTGCTCAGGCAGTGTGATTACAGATGAGTAGTTCCGTTTGGAGCTATAGGTTACATTGAACTGAATCACAGCTGACTGGTTGACAGGGGAACTAGAGGAAGATACAAAAATTCCAGTCAGAACAACACTGATACTGACAGCTGCTTTTACAAACTATGGAAGCATTTCAACGGTTCAACACACATTCATAAATAACTTTCAGTTGTGATGGTCTTTGAATTACACTGACCAAATTTAAAGTCAATCAATCAAATCCCTAGCCTATTTCCTGTTGTGTTTGGCGTACGGGTCTAAGAGGCTTTTTTGTTTGTGTAGTCATGATACACGTGTACCAGTGGTTGCTGCTCGGGCCCTAATAAGTATGTATATTTGTATAATCATGACAGGTTATACAAATTGCAACTAACTAGAAGGTAATGCCACATATTTGCAAATTGCTATTTGCCATCGAGTTAGATCCCACTATCTCTCCACTACCCCCAAGAATACTGACCAGAGCAAAGTAGGGCAGCACACTTAGTTAAAATGTTATCAAAATTGCAAATCCTGTTCTGCAGGTATAAGAAAACATGTTTGTTTGGTACAGACCCTGATTAATGTCCATCATCGTGGTTTTAATGGTTGTTTCAGTGAAAATGAAAAAATTGTGATGCAAAAAATGATAATTCCCACTAATTGAGAATCATAATGCAATAGTAATATCTGTCAGAATAATTACATTATGTTTTTTTTTTTACCATATCCTAAAGTCCAAAGCAGTACATGCATTTTTTTTGGTACAATGTTTCTGAAAAGTGTTTCTGTGGTTACCCTGAAGTAATGATGATGTTGGCTTTAGAGTTTTCCTCAAGTGTAACAGCATCAGGAGCAGAAAAGAACACTCTGGACTCTAGAGGACAGACAGACAAAGTCAATCCAAGATGTTCTCCGAAGCAAAGAGTACATAGTTTGACATCAAAAGGTAGTATGAACTGGCATCATTATAAAGCATATTTATTTACAAATTTATCCTTGTCATAATAATCAGGTTACTGCTTCAATGGCCACTGAACATGTTCAGAATCTGTACATCTTGAACATCTTCCAAGTCAAAATATAGTCATGTTCAACCTTTTTTGAAAACCCACCCAGGCCCCTTTTCCACCAAATTAGTCCTGGATCTTGAACCAGTTCCATTCAAGACTCTTGGAACCTTGGTGCTATTAAGCAAACCTGAACGCGTTTCCACCAGCTTTCAGTGGAATCATGGTAATTGAATGCATTATCAAGAGAGGGCGCTGCATAATGGACAAAGACCTGTAGAATATGACCAACCACATTGGTTCCCAAGAAAAACCTACTGTTTTTTTTGGCTCCAGCTAGGAATCTATAAGGCATATCTGTCAACGAAATAGCCTCATTGAAATGTTTACAGTAAAGCCAGTGGATTCAATATAAATAGGCATAAACAGTCAGTCACCAGAGATGATGGTCAGCGTCCACAGGAGCAGCAGCTGAGTAGGTAGCCATCTCTTTGCCAAGCCCAGACCAGACATCTTGGCAAAATGTTGGATACTGCCCACCCAAGGGACAAAGCACACAAAGCATCATAGCAAATAGACAGAGCAATCCCATTCACATGTGTAAAATAATTGAATAGCTAATTCAGGTACTGCACATAAAGCTACCAGTGGAAATGCATAAGAGCTGTAATTCTTGAGTCATTTTAACAAATAGAGTCCAAGTTATATGTTAAGTTATACGTAATAACCTTATATGTAGGCCTATGTGATACATCGTCATAACATTTTTAGAGACCCAAACCCAATTTAACGATAAGTGTTGTTTTACAACAAATCATTATTTTATCCATTTGGTCTCGGAGAATGAGTTAAATATATAGAAACATGTAAGTCATCGTACTAAGAAGCATACTAAAGGAGCTTAATGCTTGAAAGCCTGCCTATGCTTTGTATAAACCCGTAAAAAAAAAAAGTTAAACTTACAGCAGTGGTTATTTCGACTGCTTCCTCACCGGCCTGTCACAAGACTAAAGCTTCTTCTTCTTCTTTCACTTCTTATAGGAGCTTTAACGGCAGCTAGCATCCTTATATGGCGTTGCTGCCATCTTCTGGAGTTCGTTAAGTCCTACAGTGTCATATTTTTCTTTAGGAAGCTCAACAAACATCAACATCACACATAGTTGATATTTTGACAATTGGGATTGGGTTGGGATTTCAAAATTGGTTATTTTTGCCCATCTGAGTGGGGAAGTTGGGTTTTTTTTTAGGATATGAGGAGTGAGGAAGCTGAGAAGCTGTTCTGGTTCTGTCTGTACTGCAGAAACATGGCAGTTCAGCGTCACGGACTACATGGAAGGCGACACATGGAAGGTAGTGAAAAACAGCTCATTCTAAGGTAACGAAAACAACTATTCCTATATGCAGATGAATATAAGCTAATTAAAATATACCTGTGAATATTATTTTCCATTTATGCCAATAAATCCTATTTTCTTCATTCAGTGGGGAAAATTTCCAGCAATAAAACGAACGGAACGGAGAGGGAAGTGTGTGTTGTTATGTTTATTTATTTGTTGTTTGGAAAGCACTTTGGATCTCTGTGTCAAAAAGGTGCTATATAAATAAAGTTTTACTTACTTACTTACATTTGGTCGGCATTGTTAGGGATCCTTGATTTGCCGATTATTATGGCAAGGATTCACATGTAGCACGCTTGTCAGCTTAACATTCATTACTTGAACTCTACTTGTATTTGATTAACTTTGACAAAGATTAATTTACAGAAAAAATATTTATTATGCGAAAAATTTATTTTAAATCTTTTAATTTTGTTTGGGACTTTTTGGGTACATAAATGCAAATGGTCTAAATGAAACCTATTCCTATATAATAATCCTATTTTTTATTTAAATATGTATGTACCCCTTTTCTTTGTCTCGTTATTTTTTCTTTCCTTCTTTGTAGTTTTATTCCTCATATTTTTGTATCTCTTTATGGTCATGAAAAAAAATTTTTTCAAACCGACAGCATGGAACAAGTCTTTGCATTGTTTCAGTAAGACATTTACTCTGTGAACTCCAGTGCTTGACTTTCTTCTTAAGCGCTTCCGGTTTCCTGTCAGGTTATAGAACTGCTCGGCCACTCGGCTTTTGTCACACAATCAACATACAAGACTTTATTTACTGATTTCCTAATCGCGAACATGATTTTAATGAAGCTTTGTACGCCATTGTTATCAAGGTAAGACTCGAAGACTAATGTTTGGAAGCATAGCATGCTTGCTAAGATAAGTTGGGGGGTTGTGTTTGTTTGCTCAAACGTTCTGTAAATGGAGAGGAAGGCTCATGTTTAATAGATTATTGTCCTATGATACATTGCTACATGCTAACTTGCTAACTTTACATGACGGCGAATATGCTCCGAAACTCGGGGGTAAGTCAAGCAGGAATAAGTCTGTAGACATTTGTCTTTCTCTTCTATATGACAGGAGCCCTCGCCATACTCGTGTCAGAACTTGTTTAATTGCTTATTGTGAAATTATACAAGATAGCCAACTTTATAACGTTACGTGACGGCGGGAGGTGCTCTACCTCTAACTTACATGAAGGAAACAGACTTAAGTGAGTGTTAATCAAAAAAGTAATGTTTTGTTCATTTCTCTTTCCAAAGTAATATTATTACTTTGCTTATTTCTCCCTGACAACAGTTATTAGTTATATTACTAGTTATTACTTTTATAACTACTAGTTATATTACTACTGTCAGGACAAAGTGTAAGCTTGAATTGTTGGATTTAAAATTAGTAGGGGGGTGCCATAAAAGTAATGTACAGAAAATTATTATCATTAGTTACACTACAATTTATAAGGGGAAGTAATATGATTACTGCATCTGACATTCACAGTGTATTTTATGTGTGTGGAAATGGTTGTATGTATGTACGGGCAGGAGTGTTTGCCCTGTGATCACCCAAACAGGTTGCCTGTCACCGTTACCACTCCGTGCACACACTGCAGGACATGGCCAGGCTTCATTGCTCCACACTCAAATTCCTCAGCTCAACTCCAACAGGACGTCAGTGGTGCGCTGTGGCCGGCAGAATTATGAGAGACAGTACTCTGTGATGCTGGTCCGACCTGATGGATCTACAGTCAATATAAGATACAAAGAACCCAGACGCATCCTCATGGTTAGTGCACTATCTCCTCCACTCCTTGCTACATTTCTATACAGCACTTTTTACTTATTTGTGAGAAATACAATTTAAATATCTCATTAATATGAGTTGTACATTCAAATTCTTAGAAGCTACTGTGTAATCAGAGGAAGAAAAAAAGCACACGCCCAAGACGGCTAGAATTTGTCAAAATGCTACCCCAACTGGCAAACAGTTAGGCCTCTGGCCCTTATGTCTTGAAAAAACACATCATATTTAGGTTCAAAGCATCTCTAATATCACCATAGTGAGTGTTGGTTCCTCAACTGTGCCATTAATTCGGGAAATCATATTGTACTGTTTGAAGAGAACAACAGAGAGTTTCCCTTGGTCACATTTAAATCCTCTGTTGTGGGTGGCCAATGGGCATATCAACAGGAGAGTCATATAGAAGCATCTCTTATATCAATTCTGCACTATAAAGTGTCTTTGTGTCCTCTTTATTATTGATGAAAGCCCCTAAATTATTGTAATTTTGTCAGACTTGCAAGACCCCAAACAACAAAACAATAAGGTGCACTGGTCCATATGTTAACTGATATTTCATGTTTTGTAAGTTTATTGGTGTGTTCTTTGTGTTTTAAAAGATGGCAGTCAATCTGTCCACTCTGTCTGAAGAAGAACGTCGAGCTCGACTGAAAAAAAGAGAAGTGAAGAGGACGAGAAAAGCGACATCATTCCACTTTGAAGATGACTTCAAAGCTGACAAATACAGCCGCTTCTGGATGAAGAAATAAGTTATTTTGTGTTTTACCACAACTGGAGATGCATCTTTAAAAATCTGACTCTTCAGTTAATAAATTGTTTTAAAGCTGTGTATCTGTGTGGTGAATTAGTAGTCTAGGCAGAATTTCTTAAAATTTGCTTATTTAAAGTGCTGGAGGCATTTTGTGATTATTTATATTATACAACATTTCGGAGGGTATTAAGGGGTGCTGAATCCAAATCTTCTGTATATGAAGCTCAAAAATGTCCCAAAATGCCTCAAAATTGAGAAATTCAAAATGGCTGCCACTACCAGGCTGAAGTCTATTTTTCAGTATATCTTTGATTAAACAAGGTACAAACATGAAATAAATGTGCTTTTATTAAGTTATTATTATTAATATTATCAGGCTACTTTTACTTAGTTTGTAATTTGTTTTGAGGTAAAATGTGTCAAATGTGCTGTAATGCACTCCCCAACCTTTGCCCTCCCGAATATCACCCCACCCTGCCCCCAAGCTGAGCCTTTCTCACACTTCTCAGAACGGCTGATCGGAAACATAAGATAGCTAACAGGTAAAGTCATGTCCAGTGTATATTTTCATAATGTGACATGTTTTCATAAACATCCCAAGGGGATCAATAACGTATCTATCTATCTATCTATCTATCTATCTCCGAGTTTAAATAATTGCAGTATATATTTTAGCATTTTTGATAACTAAAAGAAGCCTAACTAGCTAATTTTAGCCAGCTAATTGCTAGGATTAGCTAATGTTAGTGGCTAGCTTACAAATGTCGCCTTAGACTTCTAAGCATACGTCAACACCGCCGCCATCTTGGAGCAGGGTTCTGATGCGCCAAATCAGTTTACCCGCATTCAGATCAGCTTTAAAGATGCTGGACTTCTGTGCTGCCAATTGATGTTCGAACGAAAGAAATTGAAAAAACAAACAGCAAGGGATAACATTTCACAGGTGATAATGTGTTTTATGATATGTACGAACAACAATGTTACGAAAGTATATTTCTGGTTTCGAAATTATATTGTTTCAGTCTCATGTTTCAGTATATATATCTATGGTTGGTTCGATACTTCTGTGGTCTTGAAAAAAGGAGACAAGGAAAATATAGTTTGATAGTAAATGATATAGAAATCACAGAACCAAAATTAATCTCAGAAATCAGCTTTACAGCTCTAAATTCTCTAATGAAGACTGCCATACATTCTTAAAGGATATAGAAAAATATATTCCCAAAGTTGAAGATAACTTTAAACAAACATGTGATAGTCAAATAACAATTACTGAAATGGACAGAGTAATTGGCCGCCTATGTCTTAACAAGGCACCGGGCTCGGACGGACTTACAGGAGACTTTGATCGACATTTCTGGGAAGATATTAAAAAACTGTAGTATTCCTGGAAATATTTGAAACTTGTATACTTCCACCCACAATGAGACATGGGCTCATCATCTCAATTCCTAAGCCCGGCAAAGACCCCAGATTCATAGAAAACAGAAGGCCTATTACTCTTAGAAACTCTGATTATAAATTACTCACCTATATTTTCACCACTCGTCTTCAGACAGGAATTTCAAATCTTATTGCAGAAACACAGTCTGTTTTTTTAAAGGGAACATCAATCCACAATAATATAAGGCTGGTAATGGACATTATTGAATATAGAAATCAAATTGAACATGATGGTTTTCTTTTTAGATTTCTATAAAGCGTTCGATTCCGTAGAGCACCCATTTATCTTCCAAGTTCTTGAACATTTAGGTTTTGGAGTCAATTTTAGGAATTTAGTTGGTGGATTATATCAGAATATCAACAGCTGTGTCATGCTACCTTGTGGCACCACCCCCAGTTTTAATGTTAATGTGGGAATTCCACAAGGTTGTCCCATTTCACCATATTTATTCATATTAGTCACAGAAATGTTAGCAATTTACATTAAAAATTGTAATGAAATAAAAAATTTAAATGTCTTAGGTACCGATATTGTCATCAGCCAACTTGCGGATGACACAACACTTTTTGTACAAGACAGACACCAAATTCCAATAACAATTGAAAAAATAAAAAAATTCTCCAAAGTTTCAGGGTTAACTCAAATGTGAACTATTTGCAATTCATGAAACAACTCTAAAAGACATCTGTAACATCCCTATCAAGTCGGAAATTAAATACCTTGGAGTACACCTAACAAAAGACCAAAAACAAAGTCAATACTTGAATGTAGAAAAAAAAAATAAAAGAGAGTAAAGCCAAATTAAATTTATGGCTCCAAAGAGAGCTCTCAATATTCGGCCGAATTTACCTAACCAAGATGGAATGTTTATTAAGGTGCATTTACCCAGCCTACTCTAATGCCATTTCAAATAAACTAATCAAATCTATTAACCAAATTAATCTGAATTTTATTTGGAGAAACAAGCCACACTATATGAAAAAAAGCAATATGGTTAAAGAAATTAAAGATGGTGGTTTAAAAGTTATTGATTTTGATTGCCTTAATGGAACCTTAAAAATTAATTGGCTGAAATCTTGGCTCAAACATAGCAACTCATTTTGATACTGTGTCCCAAATTCCCTATTCAATAAGATTGGAGGTTTAAAATGTCTTCTTATGGCAGACTTCAACATCGACAAATTACCTATACCATTGTCAGAGTTTCATAAACAAATTCTATTATATTGGAAAATGCTATATGTGCATAACTTTTCACCTCACACTACTATGCTTTGGAATAATAGATATGTTTTATACCGAAATAAATCATTATATTATCAGGATTGGTATGAGAGGAATATATGGTTTGCACTAAACATAAATTCAACCCTTCCAAGTCAGACTTTATTAAATTACAAAAAGCACTTCCTAATGGATTTATATTTCTAACAAAAAATATATTGGCCCACCAATTTATAATACCACAACTGGGCCCATTGTCAATACAGGGGATTTTAATCCTGGACAAAAAATGTAACAATCATTTTATAAGAAACTGCCTCACTGAAACATTGTTCCCCGGTAGACAAAACAAAAATAATATCCTACATAAATTTGATAATAAATCAATTGATAAACTAAGAACAATGTACCTAAAATTTCCTATACCCCCCAAAACGAAAGAAACACACTTTAAAATTATGAACAACATTTATCCTTCTAAAGAATTACTTAGACTACGCTTTAATATCGGTGACAATTTATGCACATTCTGTGAAAATGACATTGAAACCACGGACCATATCTTCTTCTCATATGATATAATACAAACATTCTGGGTTAACATTCACAATTGGATCAAACAAAAAATTGTTTTATTTCCAGCTGCTATCTCTAGAGATGATGTCACTTTCGGTATGATCTTACAAAACAAAAATGATGAACTCTGTTGCAATGTAATCCTTTGTCTAGCCAAATTTTTCATTCACAAGAATAGAGTTATGAAGTCATCACCCAAATTTATTGTCTTCATGAATGAATTTAAATTGTACATGAAATCTCTAAAACTTCTAACAGAAATTAAGGCACAAAAATTATATGAGAACTTAAAGAATTTTCCCACTGAAATGGATAGTTAAAATTGACTTGAATCCCCCTTATGAAAGCAATGTTTATTCTATTTTATATATATTTTATTTTTGACTATTTATTTTGAGATGTTTATTTTCATTTTATTTCAAGTGCTCCTAATTTATTGTATTGAAGCACTAATGTGCATGTTGTTATTGTGAGCTGGCTTGCACTAATGTTTGATGATGTTCACCTGGCATTCTCTTTACACTTGTGAAATGTATGTACTATGAAAAGTGCCAGAATTGTTTATTGTTTATTTTTATACTTTTTCAATAAAGCTAAAAATAAAAAAATAAAAAAAATCTATGGTTGGTTCAGCGACGTTTTCAAAATAAAAGCACGGCCGTCAAAAAGGTACTTCGTGAAATATTGAGCTGTGAAGCCTTTAGGTCGGATTTTTTTGTGATTGTCATTAGATATGAGTACAATACAGGTTTTAAAGCAAATACACATACTATTAAGTGGAAGAATAATAAAACTACGCCTTCTAGTACTAGGCATTACATTTTGAAGTAGATTATGATAATATCAAAAGCTTAAATTTTCTCTGGACTCGATCATAAATACACGTCTGTCAGTTGGAACAAACCAAAAAACTAAAAAATCGCTTGAGATTTTGACTATTTATGGTGATTTTATTTTTGTTAGATCTTTGCCTAACATTAGATTGATGCTAATGCTTAAAGGAGGGTGGATCCCCGCTGCAAGATGGCGTTTCTATTGACGCATTCGTTCCAATGAACAGCAGTAGTCAAGGCGACATCTAGTCAGTATATATATCTATGTGCAGAGGTTTCCAACCTTTTGACTGCTGAGGCCCAAATTAAATTCTGAAACTCTTCCACAGCCCACCCAAACTTTTTGGTGCAAAAGTGGGTCAGTGCAATTAGCACGCTAGCGCGATTAGCTAGATAGCATCAAAGTCAGTAAACTTAACACACTTGCTTTTACACTGACTGATTGGAGCAAAGACTGTTTAAATTTATTTCATTTAATTTATTTGAATGTAAATGTCTTTGGGTATTGTTCTACTTGAATCATTCAATACCTTTTAGTAATCCTTCATGATTTTTTTAATTTTATTTTTCTATTGAAAGGCCTCCCACCCCACCTGCTATACCTCTGCGGCACACATGTTGGGAACCACTGTCTTAGACGTGGTCACACCCCAGATTCAACAATCTCTGCTTGGTGCAGAACACCTTGGACAGGCACAAATGTGTTTGAGGACAAATGTCTGTCTGAACCTCCAGATAGTGACCAGCACTTGGATCTGAAGCCACCCATTCGAAAGAACAAAGCCAAAACATTTGCCTCTTTGTATGAAGTCGTGCAACTTTCCAAGAACAAGCAAAACATCATCAAAGTGGACAGGCAGATTCTACAAAGGCTCATCACAGCTTACAGAGCAGGTCGCAAGGTAGACCTGGAAAATATTCTCCAGCATGAACTCATGCCCATCCCGCCATCTCTGGCCGCAACTAACGGCAGTCTACATTCCACCAACAAATCTGTTTTATCCTGATCACATCCTGATCTTCCTCCAGTGGATGAAATGGGATGGATGCACAAGGAAGGTCAATTAGTGCCACAGCTAATGTCTCTGCCACCTATGCCTAAAGCCTGCTGGGAGTTCACTTCTGTGGGTGTACAGGATGCCTCAGCCAACGCTACAGCTGCAGTTATGTGTATTTTGAGTTAGCTGATGTTGATCATTGTGTAAAAGAATGTACAAATATGATAGACTGATAGAGTATTCCAATGTACCTGTACTTGTACTGGTTGTAATCTTTCTATTCTATTCTGTTTAATCTATTCTATTCAGAATGAGTCGCATGGAATGTATAGACGCATGCAACTGCAGGAAACTTGACAACACTTGCTAGAACATTGAAGAGGACTGCGAATAAGCTGTCACTGTAACTTCTACTGGGATATAGTTCAATGAATATCACCATGACCCATGGATCTTCCTGCTTTTGGATCTTATTTGATTGACAACTTCTTTATCACTAATGACCACCCTTTTCTCTATACTTGTGTGATTTTCAAGCTGATTATTGACACTTGATCTAAATCAGGACAGGATGTTAAATTCCCCATGTGTGAAAACCTGTGAACATTTAATTAAAGTTTGTAACTTTTTGTATTTGTTTGTACATTTGACCTCAAAACTAAATACAAAGTAAGTAAATGAAGCCTGATAATATCAACAATAATAGTAATAATAATATTAATAACTTATATTAATAAGTAATTATTCATTGTTAAAAACAACTATTTTTGCAATATCTAAGCAGTTTCTTCACATTACTTCTCAAATCTGAATATGGCATCGAATTGCCCATGTAGGAAAACTTAGATAGATTTTAGCCTGGCGGTGGCAGCCATTTTTAATTTCTCAATTTTGAGGCATTTTGGGAAGCTTTGAGCTTCATATACAGCAGATTTGGATTCAGCACCCCTTAATACCCCTACAAATGTTGTAAAATATAAATAATCACAAAATGCCTTCGGGGTTCTGATTTTGTGAAAATTGACCCTGTCTGGCTTGTTGACCAACAAATGCCCTGGTTGACAGGCCATGAAAAAAAACAGGCAACATACTGATGTGTTGCAGCAAGCAGGACCTTGTCATCTCTCTATTATAGAAGACATGTTAATAAAGCTCTACTCCACAGATATTTTTGGTTAACTCCTCTTGGGAGTTTTTGGCTTAACACAGGGATCTCAAACTGGTGGGCCATTTCAGACCCTCCAAACCCCTCCCTCCAGCCCATGACATGATGTCAAAATAATTTTTTTGCATCAGAATGTTATGCTTTCTTGTAGTACTCAAATGTTGTAATGGCCCTTCTACAAGATGACAATACCAGCAGTGGCCCCATGCCAATTTGAGTTTGAGATCCCTGACTTAACAAATTGATGGAATCTGAGAAACTGTTATGTACATACAGTACTATTGTAAAAATACAAAAAAATTGTTGGTAGCAGAAGTGGGGTGTCATTATCTGTTGAAGTCAGTCAGTGCCCCACTTGTGCCACTCCAGTCAAAAAAGTCTGGAAACACCCTTGCTGTATTTGACAGCAGCAGCCGAAAAGAGATAGGAAAGTGGGGGGAATAATATACAACAAAGGGTTGGACTCAAACCCAGGCCACTGTGGCCGTGACACAGCCTTTGTACATGGGGCACATGTCACCAGGTGATCTACCAGGGACATGTACCTTCAAACACTTTAACATTTAAAAACTTGATACAAAAAAATGACCACATTTATTTACTTATGTAGCCTCTTTTATATATTGCCTGCCTAAATTGACCTCTTGTGTTATGTTTGTTTTGTGTTTCTTTTCTTTTTTGTCTTTATGCATAGTTTTGTCATCACTTTTTTAGATAGATAGATACTTTATTTATCCCGAGGGAAATTAAAGGTTTCTTTTTTATTCTGAAAACCTCGACTTGTAAACAACACCTATGAGACATACATTTGTTTTGTCCAAAAATGTTTCTTCAATTAAAGTAAAAAATATAGAACACAAAAACCCACTCCATTCCAGTAGGTGACGGTATCGCACCAACTGGGTTGCCAGCTGCCAAAATATACGAGGAATGCGTTTATCGCGAGAATACAGTCAGTGTGTCCTTGCTGAGTCCGAAATGGGGTACTGGGACTTACCAGAGGGCACAGACTGTGTGGAAAAAACATGGATCACAACCAAACTAGGCACGGCTTTGGGTAAATATCAGCAGTGATAATACATATAAGTTAGATGCACGGTGTTGCCCGTGTTGGTCATGAAAGCTAACTGTCGATTTCGCTTTAATGTTTAAGCTAACTAATGCTAACTCTTTTAAGCTAGCAGGTTATACGGAGCTTTTTTTTTTTGCTTTATTTGCGCAAATTTGACTAACTTACCTCGTGTTTTGAGCCAGTGTTTTTTAGAAGCCATAAGCAACCAATGTGAACCACCTTTGTTACTGCTAACAGAGAACCAAAAACCCACATAAAGCCTGGTATTAAGAGTATCGTTAACTTGTAACGGCTTGTAGGACATTTGAAACCGAAGTTTAACTAACGTTATTTGACTGGGCTAAAATAACGGTGATTGGTAAGTCTAATAGTATTTTTGGGTTAGGGTTTTTTTTATTTATTTATTTATTTATTGCAAAAAGGGGGTTACAGTTCAGATGTGACTTACAGAGATAACGTTATATAACGTTATATAACAGGATACAAACACATAAAATACAAACAAAGTGAAGTAACGCTTTGCCAGGGGAAGCTTATATGCTATAACAAAGAGAAAGATGACCATATGTTGACAGTTTTAATGGCCTTTTTGTTGTTGGAGCCAGAAATCAAATTAATATAATGTACAACTTCATGGAGAAAAGGTACAAAATTAGATTTTTTACTGTTGATTTACATTTATGAATGTGGAATTTTGCCAACAGAATTAATACATTTATAATGAAGTACATATTTTCTTTACTTTGACTTCTATAAAAGCAAAATACAACATTCTCCCCCAATAAGGCAAAGTCTTTATAAATATGGTCAATGATGAATCTGCTGAAGTTCTGCCAAATGTTCTGGTGTGTAAGCAATACCAAAAGAGGTGCAAAACAGTTTCTGGGTAGTCTTCACAAAAAGAACAGTTTGTATTGATGTCTCTTTTAAATTTAACCATGTAATGATTAGCAGGGTAATATCTGTGAATTATTCTGAACGACACTTTGGGCCTGTCCTCACGAATACGCGGCTTCACCCAATACAATGTTTCGAAAAAAATCTCCATATACACGGCGTCGTTTCCCGAAATATCTGCGTCCACACGGATTCACGGACAACGACCCAAAACGCTGTAGTACATATGCCAGGCCTGTATGTGGCGCTGTGATGCCGCCACACCAATACACTAAAACCGGAAAAGAAGCCATGGAGTATGCGCTGTTTACAAACAAGTAGTAGTAGTCCGCCATTGTTGTTGTTGTCATGATACATCTAGCGGCGGCGGCTGAGGTTAAAGGCTAGAGAGGCGGGGCTAATACGTCATCGTTTCAGAAATAATCTGTTTCGCTGCCCTGACGACTCCGGGAAATCCGTCATTTTCGGATTTTCCCACTCTGGGACCCGTTTCCAAAAAATACCGTTTTCACACCCCAAAAACGCCGTATCCGTCTGGACGCGAGGCCAATACGGTAAAGTATTTATCGGGAATCAAGAAAAACGTATTCATGAGGACAGGCCCTTTGTTTACTATCAGGTATCTGTGAGGAATCATCCAAACTTTTTTCCAGTCAATGTCATTTACAAATCGGTTCCAATAAAACATAACATTTGGAATAGATACAATTTCTTTCTGAAACAAGGCACGAATGTTCTTATTATTTCGAGGAAGTTTAGAAAAACAGATTTTTTCCAACAGGTGATTCAGCCACAGCGGTGAGGGAGACAGAAGTGGGTGGAGGTCTGCCAGTATTTCTAAAAAACATTATTGAGCCTGATGGAATGGCGTCAAATACAATTGCAAATTCTCGTGGCGTAACTGGAATATTATGTTGATAGAAACTCTCTATAAGAGAAAAGTCGCCCCTCTCCGTTAAATAGCTGGCCCACCAGCAGAATCTGATTCTGTACCCAACTCTAAAAAAGAGTGACTTGTTTTTATATAAAATATCTCTGTAATTCCAAATTAGATACCTGTGAGGTGAGAAATTGTGCTTATAAATGAGAGCCCATGCTCAAAGTTGTCTACTTAACAGGGAGTTTGTCCACATTGTAATTACAGTTCAAAATAAAGCTTAGATCACCAGAGCGAGTTTGGAAGCACTTCTGGTGAAGCATATCTTCTCATCTTTGTGTCGTTATCCCAAGTCATCTTTGTCGTCTTGCCTTTTGTTGGCGTGCCAAGCAATAGTGGGGTCAGTGCCCCCCTGAGGCTGGAAGGCGGAAAACACCCACTGGTACTTGACAGCGAGAACTGCAGTTGCAGTGGCTGGTTTCCCCCCAGCGACCACAAGGGACAACAATGAACCCAATCCACACTTGAAGAATCTGAATCAGAAAAATACAGATTGTGGTATTGCAGAAGTTATAAATGATTACCAAGAATTACAGAATAATCCAGTGTAATGCACATTGACCCCAGTATTGCACCTTAATCAATTTATTGCACATTAACCAGAGACATTTAAGCACCAGTGATGGTAATGACTAATGACTCAGAGTTTTGATACCCTGAGGAAGGAGTTGTACAGTTTGATGGCCACAGGTAGGAATGACTTCCTGTGCTGCTCTGTGGTGCATCCTAAGATTTATTAATTAATTAATTAGATAATTTATGTTTTATAAACAGCATGTTTTGGTTTCACAAGAGAAGGATTTCAAGGATGAAGACAATATATAATAGTCGTCCGATAATGGGAAATTTATATTATTATTATTATTACTTCAATAATTAAATTATAGCCAAGAAATTAGCGGTCAATAATAATAATAGTATATTTTTGAATTCTGTTTTTTATTAACTTAAATGATGAACTATAAAGAATAAATGAACATTTGAAGAGTCAGAACTGTTGTTTGTTTGTGTTAACAACAGTGATGTCAGTTAGATTTGGTTAAGACAGAGCTATTGAATATTAAATCACCCATCTTTGATCACTAGAGCTTAGCTTATTGTACCGTCAGGTGTGTAAAAACGACAGGGTATGAGCTTCTTTTTAAAGTACAAAAATGCAATCTTTTTGGTATCAGTTATTCAAGACTAACTTGTTTGCGCTGCTACTTTACTGAGCTTTTTTACCGAATAATTCGGTATGTTCTCTCGCACAGTGAAGATGGCACAGAACGGGGTTATGGTTTATTAGATGAATTAGAATAATTTTTCATGAAGACTTCTAAAGAAAAAGAAACTCCTCATTTAAATGATAATTACATCTTTCCCTCTCTGATGGCAGGCCTTATGTATCGCTGTTAGGCATGAGACAATATGAACATTTCATGTCATGGTTATCTCAACCAAAATCATTGCGATGTATGATATTATTCACAATAATCATGAAAATATAGTTAATTCTTTTAAAATGGCACTAAAACATAATGGAATCACGTTACCTTACATTTAATTAAGAAACACATACTTATTGCACCATGTCTCCATGTTGGAAAGATACAGGCTCCCCCCTGTATAAAATAAATCAGAAAATCAATATAGGACTGCATGATGGCGAGCTAGACAGCTTTTCAGATCAAGCCATGTGAGGATATTCACAAATATTCTGATTCACAATTATCACGTTAATTGAAATTCACCATGATACATTTATTTAGTGTTTTTTATTGTGATACGTGATAATATCGTATATATTGTCCCATCCCGTCCAACGGCCATTTAAAACTGCTTGTATATGATATGAACTAGACCATTCATTGCTCTTGTATTTCATCCAGAGTACAAACTCTATTTAATATATTTTCAATATTTTGAAAGTGTTTATTGTTGCATTAAAACCAGTCCTCCCTTCCCTACCATATTAGACCAAATTATACCTTGTTTTTGGGTGGGCAGGAGATCTTTAGGGGTAGATAGTAGGTCAACAGTGCACTACATAGAAGGGGTATACGTCATCTGAGAGGTGTGAACCTGAAGATTAATTAAATGATAGAAGTATATGATAGCCATTTCCAAGGTGCAAAATTCTAGAAATAGCTAGAAAAAAACCTTCTTGTCAATAGAGCTAGAAAAGCCATCCTTCCTCTGGATGCTTCGAGGCTATACAAGGATATCTAGGCTACTATGCAGCATCATCACACATGAATACAATTGGGCTCACTGAATCCACAAGAGTCTCAGCTTTCCAGTCATACCCAATGCAATTTTAATACTGTTTAGTGAGTATGCATAAATATTTAAATACACTAGAAACAAATGACACATTTATACTGGGTGCAAAAAACTGCATGGGATCAGAATATAGTGGGCATGTCTGTAAAGGGGAGGGGTTCATTCAGATATCTTTGAAAATGGCCATGCCAAAATTTTGCCTGACTTTGGAGCGTTATTAAGCCTACTTCCTGATAGCTAGCGTGACATGTTTGGTACCAATGTTGTGCCAATTTAGTTTCATATGGTACCAGCATCTCTTTATGACTGAGCCCACAAACAAGATCAAGTTTGTCTGAATGAAATACAATTTGTAATTTACAAAATAATCATTAATAATATGACAAATATCTGATAAGAGAACCAATGTTCAGTCCTCAACAGCCACAGCCCGGGGCGGCTGTGGCTCAGAGGCAGAGCAGGTCGTTCCTCAATCGGAAGGTTGTGGGTTCGATCCCCGGCTCCTGGTGCCACATGTCGAAGTATCCTTGAGCAAGATACTGAACCCCGAATTGCTCCCGATGCCGTGCATCGGTGTGTGAGTGTGTATGAATGTTAGTTTCTGTTCGATGGACTTTGCCATCACTGAGTGAATGTGTGTGAAAGGGTGAATGTGGCACGTAGTGTAAAAGCGCTTTGAGTGGTCGGAAGACTAGAAAGGCGCTATACAAGTACAGGTCCATTTACCATTTAATACTCACTGTACGGTAGAATCGCATCAAAAAGGACTGTGATGCCATAGTTAGCCCTAGATGAGAATTGTGACTTTTTTGTTGATTTGTCTGCTTGGTTGTGTTTTTTTTGTGTATGTGTATTTTCAGGCCTGGTTGGTTCAGCCTATCATCTAGTGGCATTCCCACCTGATTCTGCATTGGCAGCACTACAGAGAACGACCAACGCAACAGTTCCTATGGGTAAATATTTTTATTATTCAAAAACCCTTTTCAGCTGTGAAGGCAAACTGTTTACTTTTTCAAACTAAAATTGATGGTACTATATTCATAAAATGTCTACCGTAAAACAATAGCTTAAAATCATGGGTGGACTATTCAAAGTAATCTGAAGAACCAGCCTTGAGACCAGGCAATATCTTTTTTATCATTGTCTTTACAAAGACAGGATAATGGTTTGCATAGCTTGGGATATATCTCACTCTAGTAATTTCTCCTAATCCATTATTGTACATATGACTGATAGCAAGAAGTAGTGCTGGGTGATATACCTAATGAACCAGTATACCAGATTTAATATAATTTGTGTGATATGAAATTTTCATATACCGCCATATTGTTGCATAGCTAAAACAACTGCTGTAACTCATTTGTTTTTTGTTGATAGAACACTTGAGAAATATCTCTCTGAATACTTAAATATTTTGAGTATATCAGTTTATAGTGTTTATACAACTATTTTGAAAAGTTGTTGGCATATCTTTTAATTTTAAGTTCTTTTTTTTAAAACGATGTTTGTTAAATTTGTTAAAATTGTGAAAATTAATCAAAGGCTTCAGTATATACTACTTGATGAGGTTAAAGTGTTTTTATATAAACAATACTGTAATCAATTTTTACACACACAAACGAAGCAAAGACTGCAGACAGCTGATCACACTTAAACTCTGCTTTCTGAAGAACATATCAAAATAAATAACTTTATTTACATTTTACATTTTCAAATTCAAGAGTAGGTGTAAGACTGTGGCTCAACCAGTGGCTGGACTGTGTATGGTCAGCGGGCCATTCGGAATTAAGAAATTGTAAGGACAAGGCCACTTTGGCCTTGGATAAATAAAAGTTAATTGGGGAATTAAACAGTAAATTAAAATAAAATTAAAGCTGCAAGCAGCGTTGAGCGGGACCTCGCACTCCACGCAACTCGGGGCGTGCTGCAGCCGCGTCGCGTGCCGTCGTAACACGTGCGGACCAAAACATGAAATTTCACGTAAATCAGCTCAAAATTGCCACGCAGCGCTTACTTCCTGTTGCTGGTAGGTGGCGCTATCACCATGTCTTAATAAGTTCAGGGCGGGACTGTTGTAACACACGTGAAGTTTCATTGAGATTGGACCATGTACGCTGAAGTTATGAGGACGTGTTCAGGGCGAGACTGTTACAGAATATATGAAGTTTACTGGAGATTGGACATTGCACACTGAAGTTATGAGTGCTGTTTTAGGGCGAATCCGCTGAATTCGACAAGTCGTCACTGGCACGGTCATTTCATGTATGTACACGTGTTCAGGGCGGGAATGTTATCAAGCATTTGAAGTGTGGAGCCGACTGGACAATGTACACTCAAGTTATAGCGAATTCGTGTTTTGTGGCGGTCCATCAAAATTTTCTGCCACCCCACAGACCCCTCACCAAAGTCAACACATATCATCAACAATGTGTTTTTTGCATTTTATAAGTAAATTTCAGCTAGATCTGATCATCCATCGAGGAGTAGAACATGAAAGTATAAAACGTGATACTTCCTGTTACCAGTATGTGGCGCTATCACTGTCTGAATATTGTCATGTAGATGTGTTCAGGGTGGGACTGTTATCAAACACGTGAAGTTTCATTGAGATTGGATCATGTACGCTGAAGTTATGAGGATGTGTTCAGGGTGGGACTGTACACTGAAGATATGAGTACCATCTGTTTGATGGCCAATCGGTGGAATTCAACACGTCGTCACGGGGACACGGTTAAACATACAGTCACAAATAGCCCAACTTTTGATAACCAGTGTGTGTAGATTGAAGTGATCGAATTTGAAGTCAATCTGATAAAATCTGTAGGAGGAGTTAGTTAAAACAGAAGCCCCTTCAATGCCGGAAATAGCATCACAGTTTGACAAAGCCATGGGGAAGCATCGTACCAAGTTTCATCTTAATCACACATACCGTTGTAGAGATATAAACTTCTTAATTTTAAAGAGCGCCACCTAGTGGCGATGGCCTGAAATTGTGCACAGTGCTTAAGTAAGACATGTGGAACTATGGACCCAAGTTTGGTGTCAATCGGACATACCAATGTGGAGAAATGGTTCACTTCCTTTTTTGATGAAAAATCAACAGGAAGTGCTAATTTTATAGCGAGCTTATTGTTTGAAATTTCAAAAATGTTCAAATTACTCTTTTGCCAAGGCGGTCCCCAGGTGCTAGGTGAAAAATTTCGTGCGAATCGGACAAAGCGTGTGGGAGGAACACGAAATTTAGTTTAAGGACATTCCGTGCTCTAACGAAATAAAATTATAGGCGGAAGTCGGCGGAAATGGTTCACTTCCTTTTTTGATGAAAAATCCACAGGAAGTGCTAATTTTATAGCGAGCTTATTGTTTGAAATTTCAAAAATGTTCAAATTACTCTTTTTGCCAAGGCGGTCCCCAGGTGCTAGGTGAAAAATTTCGTGCGAATCGGACAAAGCGTGTGGGAGGAACACGAAATTTAGTTTAAGGACATTTCGTGCTATAAAATTATAGGCGGAAGTGGGCGGGGCCTATATAGGAAGATTCAACTCCATTCACCGAACACGTGGATATAAGTTTTTTGAATGTACGATAAACTATGCAGAAGTTATTAGCCAAAACGCACTTTTCATGATAGTAGCGCCACCTAGTGGCGGACCCGAAAGCGACGCATAGAATATAAAATTTTTCACCAGGCCTGACCACTTTGCCAAATAAAATTGACTTTTCGTATATGTTCAGGGGGGCAAAAATGCAATCAAAAGTGCTAAAAATAATAATAGGGAAGAAGAAACGAAGCAAAAACAATAGGGACCTCCATCAGTCGCTTGCGAGGTCCCTAAAAATACTGAAAATCATTGCAAAATGCCGGAAATGGCATCACAGTTTGACATTTGATTCAACCTGGCCAACTTTGAGGGCACGCCACGGACTTGCCCTTTAATGTACATGCACAAATAGCACAACTTTTAATCAGCACCATTTTTTGACTGTACTGACCAATTTTGAAGCAGATCTGATAAATTCCCTAGGAGGAGTTTGTTCAAATACAATGCGAAATTGACACATTTTTTAGCGAGCCTCAGGGAGCCATGGGCAAGCATTGTACCAAGTTTCATTTCAATCACACGTGCCGTTATGGAGATATAAACTTCTTTATTTTAAAGAGCGCCAACTAGAGGCGATGGCCTGAAATTGTGCACGATGCCTAAGGAAGACATGGGGAACTAAGGACCCAAGTTTGATTTCAATCGGACATACCAATGTGGAGAAATGGTCCACTTCCTTTTTTGACGAAAAATCCACAGGAAGTTAGAATTCTTATTTTTTGAAATTTCACAAATGTTCTAATTACTCTTTTTGCCAGAGTAAGGCCTGACCATTTTGCCAAATAAAATTGACTTTTCGTATATGTTCAGGGGGGCAAAAACGCAATCAAAAGTGTTAAAAATAATAATAGGGAAGAAGAAACGAAGCAAAAACAATGGGGACCTCCAGCAAGCGACCGCTGGATTGTTTTTGCTTCGTTTCTTCTTCCCTATTATTATTATTATTATTATTATTATTATTTTGGCCAAGTGGTCAGGCCTGGTGAAAAATTTTATATTCTATGCGTCGCTTTCAGGTCCGCCACTAGGTGGCGCTACTATCATGAAAAGTGCGTTTAGGCTTGTCGAATTCAGCCGATTTGCCATAAAACAGCACTCATAACTTCAGTGTGCAATGTCCAATCTCCAATAAACTTCATATATTTTGTAACAGTCTCGCCCTGAACACGTCCTCGTAACTTCAGCGTACGTGGTCCAATCTCAATGAAACTTCACGTGTGTTATAACAGTCCCGCCCTGAACATGTCTACATGACAATATTAAGACATAATGATAGCGCTACCTACTGGCAACAGGAAGTAAGCGCTGCGTGGCGATTTTGAGCTGATTTGAAATTTCACGTCTTGGTCCGCACGTGTAACGATGGCACGCGACGCGGCCGCATCACGCCCCGAGTTGCGTGGAGTGCGAGGTCCCGCCCAACGCTGCTTGCAGCTTTAATTTAAGTCAAGTTTGCTATAATACTAAACCTAATCCATTGTCAGGTTTAGAATGCATTTGTAGTAGAATATCTTCACAGTGTGGTTGATGTTAGTACAAAGCTAGAACAATGATATTTCACTGTGTAAATGTGTACTGATCTTTGGATTCCACAAATTGCATCAAATTGTGTAAAGCTAATATGGGTCTCTATCTGTGTTGTTCCAGCTGTCATGGGAGCCATCTTTGGCATGGCAACGTGTCTTAGTGCTCAGGCTCGTGAAGCCCCAGATGACCCACTGAATTACTTTATCGGGGGTTGTGCCTCTGGGATCTTCCTGGGAGCCAGAAGTAAGCATCAGTCCATCAGCTAATTCTGCTTCTTCCCGCTCCTCTGGACTCCCAGAGCAGCTTTGAGACAGTTTTTTTTATCAGATGGCCCCTAAGCCCTTACCCTGACCCTTACGACACAAAAGTATAAATCAGGCTAAACACCCTCAAAATCCTTATGTCCAATAAGTTATCACAAGAGGCCCTTCTGATAGCGTATATGAAGAGGGCCTTTTATGGAGGTAAGAACCATCAGGATACCAAGGTACCAGTAGTCTACATTGTCACATACATTCAAATTAAGTACAGCATGTCCATCAGTTGGAGAGATCTGCAACAGGAGCAAATTATTGTTATAGTTGCTTTCAACTAACCCCTACTCAGATGGTGTCTGATTTAGAAATGTTATGATACATCGCAAGATAGTTAAATTGTGGTACAAATATATGCAGATTAAAATCTGTGAGATAAAAATGAAAAAGGTAAAAAAAAAATGACAGACATTGCAAAAGATATGGGGCCGTTTTCCATAATTGACAGGGTTTATATTTTTAGTTTGACTGTTACAAAGAAGACGAAATATGTATTGTTTTTTGCCATTTAAAAACAGAGTACCATTACTGCTACACAATCTATTGCCCTTTGAGAACAAATAAAGTGATAACTAATTGATTAATTAAGTAGGGGAGAGTGGGGTAAGTTGAGCCATAGGGTAAGTTGAGCCACCCCTTGTTGCTAGTAAATGGTAAAAAACATTGATCATGACACCAAATATTTAGGAGGAAAGCATCATTTCATGGAGTCTGTGAATATAAGAACCACATGGGTAAAGTGGTTAGATATTTATTTCCAAAAAATGTAGGCAGTAGGGATACGGCTCAACTTACCCCACTCCTATGCTCAACTTACCCCACACACAGGGTAAGTTGAGACACGAGACCGCTTTTTTTGGACATGCTATATTATCGAAACAGTTATGTTTACACTCATTCTGTTTGTTTGAAGGGATGCACAACATCCTGAAATATATGCAGATATATTAGTTAGCTCGTCTTACCCCACTCTCCCCTACTGTTTATTTCTGTTTTATAGCAGAGAAAAGTTAGTGTAAAATTCAGCTGACATAACTAACTGAAGCCTTACTCTGTGTGTGTGTGTGTCCATGTGTCTGTGTGTCTGTGTGTTTATCCTTAGCCCACAGTGCTATGACTGGTACGTCAGCGTGTCTGGGCCTGGGTACACTGGCCTTCTTTACAAAAGTTGGCAAGATGGAGGGCTGGAAGCTAGTTGGACCCCCTAAACTATGAGGAGGAAAATGCCTGTAAGATTTAACTATATGTTGTAAAAAGAGTTCATGTAATAAAGTTCTTGTGAAAATGACCCAATAAACTTCCATTTACTTGATTTCATCTCAGTTGTTTAAAACAATAATTACAGGAGTGTCATAGTTAGGAAAGGTCAAACTAAATAATTTTAAGACATTTTCAAATGTATTCTAAAGTGGCAGTTAACCATTTACTATTTTTACAGCTAATAAGCTAATGATTTTATTATCAGTGAGTGCATTTATGCATATTCACACATTTACAGCAAAGAATTAGTAGGTATATACAGAACAGAATGAGGTATATACAAATAATACTTATTCCACAGAATATTTTCTATAGAATATTAAGTGAATATTATTATTATTTTTCTGCTGCCTGGTAATAAGTCTAAAATATATAAATTATACTATGGCTTGACTGAATACTTGATGGTTATTATTTACTGAGTGATGTGCATCCATATTGCTAAGTATGCTGAAAGATGAAGATATATACTTTATTAAGCCCCGATTGGGGAAATTCTTTTTTGTTCTTACACCCACACGCTGAAATACACACTTCATGCACTTGTGGACATGCAACAGGGAGAGAACTCAAGGGCACCTGGTGAAACTGTCACCTCTCCAGCTACCAGGCCACACTCCATATTTTTGTCTGTGGGAAAGTCAAGTCCCTACACACTGAGCCACTGCCACCCCCTATGCCAATTCATATCAAAAATGTTTTCTCAGGACACTTTTAAAATAGAGTGGGTCTAGACTGGCTCTTTGCACAGGGGACCTAGTACACCGGGGAGGCAGCATTGTGGCCTGAGTCCAGTTCCCCCCAAAATATATAATGATCTCCATGTGATGTGTCACTGCTTTGAGTTGTTGCCCTGAGGCCTTGCTGCTTCAAAGCAATCTTCCATGTGTCAAGGGCTTGTTTATGGAAGTTGGCTAGTTGAACAGGTAGTTTACCAGAGATACAGGAGAGCAAGAACCTTAGTCCACTACACAGATGAAGCAATTCCTTTGACTTTTCAGAATATGTATGTATGCATTTACAGATTTGTCTACACATTACAAATCTCAATACAGATTTTACATACACGAATCTGACTTGCGGCCCTTTGCTGCATGTCATCCCCTCTCTCTGCCCCATTTTCCTGTCTATCTTCAGTTGTATCTATCAAATAAAGGCAATAAAAGGCCAAAAGAAAGCGCTTTGAGTGGTTGGCCGACTAGGCGCTATACAAGTATGGGTCCATTTACCATTTCTCATCATCATCAGTCATTTCTTTGTTTTGTTTTTTTCTGGCCTTTTTATTGCCTTTATTTGATAGGGACAGTTGAAGATAGACAGGAAAGGGGGGCAGAGAGAGGGGATGACACGCAGCAAAGGGCCACAGGTCAGATTTGACCCCCCCGCCCCAACCCAAACTGGTTTAGGCAGACGGCCTGTCTGAGGTTTCTGCCTCTTAAAAATAAGTTTTTCTTTTCTGCCGTCGCCAAGTGCTTGCTTATGGTGAGAACTGTTGGGTCTCTGTAAGTAATAAGGAGTTTGGCCTAGACCTGCTCTGTTTAAAAAGTAAAAATGAATTGGCGCCATACAAATCATATTAAATATTCAGGGGATTATGCTTATCCTTTAAAATCTGTTTAATTTACCTATTTAATGGACCCAGAACTTTCATTGATTAATTAATTTCTTTACAGTTTCACCCATACTTTGTTTCAATAAACTTTGGAAAGCACATAATGGTCTTCAGAGCCATGATTAGGGAAAGGTGTTTAGCCGCCTGTATACACCCTGTGTATTGAGGACCTCACAGACATGTTGTCATAAACCACAGGAAAAAAAGTTCTAAAATAAAATACCTTTGGATGCTTCTTTATTGAAATTTTAAAATAGTATACGGCTTGATGTGAGATTTACACACTTTGAATCCCATACCAGACTAGACTTAAACTTAGCTATACAAATCTAAGTAGCAGTAGCATATTACTAGCATTAAATATGGAATCCAACTACACCCCTTTATGCCAGTCTTTGCCAAGAGATTATAGCTAACCAGTGAAGTTTAACAGTAACAAACTGATTAATAATTAAGCTTCAGGCTGACTCACACGGATCGGTTAATGCTCTTACAGAGTCAGAAAAGCTCATAAATAGAACACTGGAAGCCTGTAAGAAGTCAAGACGTTCTGGAAGATTGGAATCAACATGTTGGATAGTCTCACTACAGGTCTGAACCTTCTTTAACTTTTATGCTCATAGGCTGTTTGGACAACTATTTTTTACAACAACAACAAGCTTTATGGCACATACAAGGTAGACTATACATTACTTTCAAGAACATAGCAAAAATACGAACTATAAATGACACAGATAACTATGTGTTAAAACAGCTAATTCAGCAACTCTTAACGGGACTGAGCATTACAGCCTGCCTGTATTATCATTTTACCTTCAGTGTGGACAGAAAGACATGCTGAACTTTGATATGAGGACCTATTGGCCAATGGATGTAATAAAGCAGTTAAGTGAATACAAGGCCACATAGGTGGTCAAAAACATCTTGAAGTGTCTGTTTAAACCTTGTGTTATCTACAGTATGCAGATAGTTTCAATTACATTTCCAAATGTTTTCAGATCCCCAGACCTCTGCTACCACCCCAATATAATGGCGGTGAAGCATTGTGCTATGAATTATCCAACACGGATAACATCTAACGTCAGCCCATACTGCAACTATTGTTTATTATAATTATTATGTATGGTCTAGACCTGCTCTATTTGAAAAGTGTCCTGAGATAACTCAAATACAATTGAATTGAATTGAATTGTTATGGTCATCTTGTAGTTTTGTAACTATGTACAAAAACTGCTTAAAAAATCATCCAAAATACTTCCATTGTCTTGTCCGTTTCAAGTGTTAGTCAATTGCACTTCCATAATTAAGGCTACAGCACTTAATATGAATATAAATGTTTCTGCACAATTTCAGTGTTTCCTTTCAACAGAAAAGTAACTAGGCCAAAGCTCTTTATTTTCAATATTATTTGATGACAGGCAGAGATTGCCATTAAACTAAAAGCAGGCACTAGTCTATGGTCTTCAGTACAGGGTGACTGTAGTTGCCAGGCCCGTAGTAATCCAATAACAACATTCATGTAAATTTTTGTACATGCCGTGATCATTTTTACATGTTCATGTGCTTTAGTATTGCATATTCCTAAACAAGTTTGAAATGAATCAAATAACCACACACTATCTGACACAATAAATACAGGGTCAGGCCCCTGTATGAAGCTATAACGATGACAAAACATAAAAAATTTGCCATTGAAAACAAAACCTAAACTGAAAGTAAAAATTGGCATTAAAACACTTCAAACTAAAAATTGTCTTGGCCCTGAAAAAAGTTTCACTGAAAGATAAAACACATTTTATTTCTTTTAGATTTTTTTTTTGTATTTTGTTTTTGAATTACAATCTTTAGATCTTGTCTTTGGACTCACTTCCCACAACAAACCGGCACAGGATACCAAAAAGCCCTACTTTTTTAAAGGGGAAGGCTTTCGGCCAGTAATGCACAGATGCATTTAGGCTGTGTATGTGCTAAACCAGAAGTGGAGGATCAGATCCTTTATTTAGGTAAAAGTACTAACATCCCACTTTGAAAATACTCCATGTTAGTGGGGTTACAACAGAAGCCTTTCCTCCGCTGCTGAATCAAATCCTAAAGGAAACTCTGAAGCCAAAGACCCGTCCTATTGTCTGTTGTATATTTACTATTGCTCTATTACTATTCTTGCTTTAATAAAGCAATAAGCAATAAGTATTTCTTATCCGATTATTTGATTAATCAGTGGAATAATCAGTAGAATACTCTAAGGCTGCAGCCTAGTTTTTTTTACTTATTTAAGATGATAAAACTTTCTGCCCTTCACCATTTGTGTAGTCCCCCATAAGGAGCTGTACTTATTGCACTCCTTAATGACATTTTACCTTGATCCCACTTACGGAGGCTGTTGCAAGTTGAGGTAACAAAATGGTAAAAGAGTTTATTCTTAGATTATATTGGTAAATGGAATGGTAAATGGATCTGTACTTGTATAGCGCCTTTCTAGTCTTCCGACCACTCAAAGCGCTTTTACACTACATGCCGCACACTACACAGCAATGGCAAAGCCCATCAAACATGAACTAACGCATTCATACACATTCACATTTAGCGAGCTATTTGGTTCAGTATCCTGCTCAAGGACACTTCGACATGTGGCAGGAGAAGCCGGGGATCGAACCAACAAATTTCTGATTAGGGGACGACCCGCACCGCATGCCAAATTGAAAAGAAAACAGTCAACACATTAATTTGTGTTTAATTGTGTGTGTGTGTGTGTGTGTGTGTGTGTGTGTGTGTGTGTGTGTGTGTGTGTGTGTGTGTGTACAATTTGAAATAAGGGTGATATCTGTACATTCTTGTCACATTATGCAACATGATAAATTTAAGTAAAAGTAAATATATAATACAATGTTATTCTTCTACCTTTTGTGCTGCATTGGCAATGGCAGGACTATATGTTTTGTAGAACTAATTTGTCACTAACACATTCAATGGAAACATTGCTGACATTTTGGCCTCCTCTAGAAAGAAAATCTACGATAGCAAAATTATATTCTGTACTTGGCATGCAGGCAGCAGCTCCCCTGGGTTCATAACAGCGGCACCTCCCAGCACAAGCCTCAAATTGGAAGCTGCTGACATCGCTGTAGTTGTCGTCTACTTTATCTTTGTCATGGTGGTTGGAATATGGGTAAGAAATAGAAGTGACTCAACTAATTTTAGGTGGTGTTCATGATATTGTACTGCAAGATTACACTTAACAAAGCCATTTTTAACTAATTCATTTTTTTTATTCCACAAATGCTAGTATCCTAAAACATTCTGAGAAGAACTATGCTAAACTATGGATATTAATGGGCTTGAAAAGTGACTTTGAATTTTGGCATTGAAAATAACATTTGGCATTGAAAACAAAACCTGAACTGAAAAGGGAGACATTAGCATTGAAACACTGGGAAAAAAAG